ATACATTGAAATGAATTAGCCATGGATTTACATGTATTCCCCATCCCGGTCCCCCCTCCCACCTCCCTCTCCACCCGATCCCTCTGGGTCTTCCCAGTGCACCAGGCCCGAGCACTTGTCTCATGCACCCAACCTGGGCTGGTGATCTGTTTCACCCTAGATAATATACATGTTTCAATGCTGTTCTCTCTAAACATCCCACCCTCGCCTTCTGCCACAGAGTCCAAAATTCTGTTCTGTACATCTGTGTCTCTTTTTCTGTTTTGCATATAGGGTGAACTTTCCTCTTAACACTTCTTTTACAGTGTCCCACAGGTTTTTGGTTGTTGTGTTTTCATTTTCATTCATTTCTATGCATATTTTGATTTATTTATTTCTTCTATGATTTGTTGATTATTCAGAAACGTGTTATTTAGCCTCCATGTGTTGGAATTTTTAATAGTTTTTTCCCTATAATTGAGATCTAATCTTACTGCATTGTGGTCAGAAAATATGACTGGGATGATTTCAATTTGTTTGAATTTACCAAGGCTAGATTTATGACCCAGGATATGATCTATTCTGGAGAAGGTTCCATGTGCACTTGAGGAAAAGGTGAAATTGATTTTTTTGGGGTGAAATGTCCTATAGATATCAATTAGGTCTAGCTGGTCCATTGTGACTTTTAAGTTTGTGTTTCCTTGTTAATTTTCAGTTTAGTTGATCTATCCATAGGTGTGAGTGGGGTATTAAAGTTTCCCACTATTATTGTGTTATTGTTAATTTCCCCTTTTATACTTGCTAGTGTTCGCCTTACATATTGTGCTATTCCTATATTGGGTACATATATATTTATAATTGTTATATCTTCTTCTTGGATTGAAGCTTTGATCATTATGTAGTTTCCTTCTTTGTCTCTTTTCACAGCCTTTATTTTAGTCTGTTTCATGTGATATGAGTATTACGACTCCTGCTTTCTTTTGGTCTCCGTTTGTTTGAAATATTTTTTTTCCAGCCCCTCACTTTCAGTCTGTATGTGTCCCTTGTTTTGAGGTTGGTCTCTTGTAGACAGCATATATAGGGGTCTTGTTTTTGTTTCCATTCAGCCAGTCTTTGTCTTTTGGTTGGGGCATACAACCCATTTACATTTAAGGTAATTATTGATAAATATTATCCCATTGCCATTTACTTTGTTGTTTTGGGTTAGAGTTTATACAGTCTTTCTGTGTTTCCTGTCTGGAGAAGATCCTTTAGAATTTGTTGAAAAGCTGGTTTGATGGTGCTGAATTCTCTCAGCTTTTGCTTGTCTGTAAAGCTTTTGAATTATCCTTTATATCTGAATGAGATCCTTGCTGGTTACAGTAATGGGTTGTAGATTATTCTTTCATTACTTTAAGTATGTCCTGCCATTCCCTTCTGGCCTGAAGAGTTTCTATTGAAAGATGAGCTGTTATCCTTATGGGAATCCCCTTGTGTGTTATTTGTTGTTTTTCCGTTGCTGTTTTTAATATTTGTTCTTTGTGTTTGATCTTTGTTAATTTGATTAATATGTGTCTTGGGGTGTTTTGCCTTGGGTTTGTCCTGTTTGGGACT